ACCACTCACCCTATTCTCCCAGCAGAAATGACCACGAACCCATACTCTCTCTCTCCCTCTCTAACTCTCTCTCTCTACCTCTAACTATCTCTCTATCTCTCTCAGATTCCTTCCACAGTTCAACCATTATTGTCGTAAAAAACTAAAAAAAGACATTTTTTTTACAGAATTATTTACTTATTGAGCTAAATACAGCCTTAAATAACTGTCTATAATACATTAATGTGGATAAAATCATCAAATAAATGTCATGTTCTTATATTTCATTAGAAAACTAAAAGAGTACTTAAATAAGTTTCTCTCTCTCTCTCTCTTTCTCTTTCAGATTCCTCCTACAGCTCACAGCTAACAGCACAGATTTCCCTATCTCTCCCTCTCCCCACTCATTTATACTTAATTAAAGCAATGGGAAACAGTTCTGGCAGAGGTGGTTGGATTTTTTTGGATTTAGAAAAATAGTACTCCAATTATATATGACATTAATCCTTTTAAATGATTATATATAATATATTTTATTAATAAAAATTTATTTTAGAATTAAATATAATATATTATATTCATCACACTGAGCTTATGATTAAAGTTTGTTTTAATTAAATTTGAGTCAAAATAAAATCATGATCTATATATAAATCACAAACGAACACACGAGATTTATTTGAAAAATTTAAATATGGGAAAAAATTATAGGAGAGAAGGGAGAACAACTTCACTATAAAGAAGAGGCTGAGGCGCTGAGCAGATAACGGCTTACAAATCCTAAGCCCTTCATAACATATTTATAGGGCAAAAATAGGGCATAAAAATAAACATAATTTCAAAAATACCCTTACAACCAAAATTTGTTTACCCCGACAGAAGATCGTTGCCCTCTTAGACCCCCGATATATCTACAAAGCATATGATAGTCAAGCACATAGATAAACAAGGGTCGAGCCAAATTTGAGGCAACTACTACAGTGATGAATAATATAGATATGAAGATAATGCAATCAATTTGTAGGAGGTGAAGTAATATTAATGTTAACGAGTACTAAATGAGAGTGAGCACATAAATGAGAGAAAGGAACATAAATAGAAATGATGGATGATTTCTTATTGGACATGTGACATAATTGTGGTGGTGATGGACTGAAATATTAAGGAGTTGGCCCCTCGAAAAAGGCCGATGATTTGCTTTGATAACTTTTTTTCTTTTTTAACATTCTCTATAATTTTAGCATCCTTGTTGCCATTTTGATAATATTTTTCCACATTTCTATGCTTTTCTCCCAAATATTTTGCATTTGAAATACTATCATCATTATGCTTAAATAATCCTTATTAAAAAAATTAATATTGAAGTTTGAAATTATTTTATCATATTTGCTTATTTGGTGACCTAATTTCTCAATAATTTCTTTTCATTCTAAAATGTTATCATTTAATAAGAAAAAAAAGCTTAAAGAATTATTTTCATATGAAAAAATAATTAGAACATATTAATTATCAGACAAAAAAACTATTTATTTATTTATTTAATTATTTCCGGGCAGTCCAATGGTCAGCTTCCAAGTAGTGGTTGGGTTAGTTACCTTCCCCTTCAGCTCTTTCCTTTTATCCATTTGCACAGCCTTTCAATTCTGACCGGCGTGAAAACGGGCAGTTAAGATTGTCTATATATGGAGCTTCTTATAAACTGACAAAGACAAGTAGCTAAATAGAAAAAATGGCTCATCTCTTTCAATTTTTTGGGCTTTATATAATTCAAATAATAATTATTATTTTTTTCTTTCATATTACTTTTATGGAAAACATAAGTACCTAATGTTTGCATATCTTCAATCACAATCATATATGACAAAAGAAATAATAATAACATTTTTTTATTGTCTTAAAAAGAAAAAAAATTATAAAAAATCAATTTAAACTAATTAGTTTATAAACATATATTTTAGTTATCTTAGGTTTTGTTTGAGACAACTTTATTACAGTTTCCTAAAGTAATTTTGAGTATAGAATTTTTAATTTTTGTATTAAAAAACTGATTTAAGAGGCAGTAAGCATTTGTCTTAAAAAAAAAAAGCCTTAATTAGTGATTTACTTGTTTTCAACACTTTTAACATCTTATAATTTCATTATCACTATCTCATTTAACTCAAAATAAGTGTTATTTATTTATTATTTTTAATCCAATAATTAATCATGTGATAATTATTTAATGTTTTGTATGATCATCCCAGCACCAGTGCACCAGATCCCATCAGAACTTCACAATTAAGCGTGCTTAGACGAGAGAAGTACTAGGATGAGTGGCCTTCTGGAAAGTCCTTCTATTTTTCCAAGTAGTGGAAGAAAGGCTTGATGTTGTTGTTATGTTTGTAATATTATAAGCATTTCAAGTATGTTTCTAATATTGAATCATTTGGTATTATATTATAATAAAATTCAAAAGGCTATGAGATTTTTTTTCTAATAAATATTAATGAGTGTATTAAACCAATAAAATGATATTATCATCTAATTAAGCTGTTAAAGGTATTTTATTTTATTTTTAATGCGCATACCTAATCCTCTTCTTTTAATTGAAAATCATGGACATTGATATTTACCTAAACTTACCATAGAGAAAAAGAAAAATATCATATATATACTACATTTTACTAATTAAGCACCCTCTAAGTAAGATTTTGTTTGGGAAAACTTAAGCTTTTCTGCTTTTGCTTTAAAGAGCTGATTATTTGTTTTTATGGTGCGTTACAAAATGAATGTTGAATATGGATGACTTTCGAAAGATGAGGGTACACATTTACTAAAAATTGCAGGAGAAATGAATGCTTACAGTACTTGAAAATTTGAAAAATCTTAAATGAGGAGGGGTTGAATTGAATGATTGTTTGGGTGGTCGCTGCCTCCTGCACTGTCCTTTGTTTCCAATCTCAGCTACGAAATTTACATCGATGGAGAAAGAAATGGAGGCCCCGACAGTTTCTCACTTCTCATTCATTCAATGTGAAAGATTCTTCTCTTTCTTTTGTTTTTTTCCCCCCCTCTTTTAGGGCAAATTAGACGTCTGGACATACAATTCAGAAGCGTCACATCACCCGAATATACTGGATCCCAGTGCATTCTGGTGACATGGCGTGTCTGGATTGGTGTCCGGACGAATCCAGACACCGGACATAATAATTTGCCCTCTTTTAGAACTATAAATATGTAGTTTAAATTTGTTATTAAATGTAACTTAACCTCAACTTTCAACAGCTTTCTTACTACTTTCTAAAGCAGTTTTTTAGTATAAAAATTTCGATTTCAAAAAAAATGTGTACCAAAAATTTGCTTTTTAAAATTGTAAGAAAATTATCCCAAATAAAATTTTGATATAGTAATTGAGAGCTTTAGATATCAATTAAAAGGCTTTTGATTTGAAGCTTAAGTATATTATGTGTATATAAGTTTATCCAAATAAATAAAAAATATATATGAATTTCTTCTTTAGTTCATGGGTTTTTTGGCTGCTTTTTCTTGTTGGTATTGTTGCCGGTTTATTAAAACGTCCATTTTGAGCAAATTTTTTTATATTTTTTTGGTTGTGATTTTTCTTATTTTTTTTATTTCTATGGTGAAAATCAGATTTTTTTAGTGTATAAAAAAGATGTTTGTGTCTTTTATAAATAAAAATGTTTCTAATTCTCTTAATAATTTAAGAATAAAATTTAAATTTTTTTCTATCAACTCTACAACTATTTTTAAGGACATTTATAATAATATTAAATGTTTATATTTAAGGCAATTTTTTTACAATTTTACTTTTGAGACAGTTATTATAAATTTTATTTTATAAATGTGTACAAAGGACATGTATATTAATTGATGAGATATAGAGATATAACTGCTTTTTAAAAGACTTACATATATCATTCGATCAATTAAATTTAACTTTTTTATATTCTTGATAAATAATTAAATTATATTAAAAAACATTGATGAACCTCAATTTCTAAATAATTTTTTTATTCTAGATTACAATCAATCATATGAACTTAAATATGACAATTATATAAAACAATAGCTGAAAAAAAAAAACAAAGAATAGTCATTGTTCACAATTTTTTTTTTTTTTAAAGAGAGCGAGAGAGAAGAGTCATAAGACAGTGGAAGAATCAAACCATTCAATGCTAGCACAGGCTAATTAGTTTTTTTAACCAAGTTTTCAAGAAAATGGTTTGAACTGGATTACAAACTTGGAGAAATTATTCTTTGCAAATGTCGAACGTCATCTATAGATCAATCAAAATGCACCACATCAACCCACTGCGTAGTATCGCGCCTCAGTACCGCTGACGTGACGCATTCTAGTTGATCTCCGAACGCTGAACAGAATAATTTCTCACAAAGAGCTTCAATGTTGTCTATTTAATCCACATAACCTTCTCATTACATTGCTCTAATCACTAATAGCCAATGAATTTTCATAAAATAAATGGAACTTTACTAATAATTAATCAATGATTACTTATCCTAACAAATACAATAACATTTAGCTATCTGATCACAGTTCCATACACTATTCCAAAATACAAACCTGAAAGAGAAGCTTCAGCTTCCCAGCCATGGTTGCTTGGGGAGCTCCAGCCCTCTGCCATCTCAGAATAGAACACACTAGCGTGTGCATGTTTGTATTAGTAATAAATTCACTAACAGCATCTCCAACCGAAAATCTCATTTTTCACTCCAAAATGTCGTGAAACTAAAAAATGCTGTACGATACATCTCAAATCGAACTCCACTTTTCCCCCTTTTGCAGGTAACGGTCATCTCTTCTTTCCCGCGGCAAGTTTGATAGAGATATAAAAATGACTGAGATGAACAGTGCAACGCCAATATTGGCGTCACGCTGTTCACCCACAACCAAATAATGGAAGTTTTACCGTTCGGCTGACACTGGTGAGGGACGCCATGCAAGCGTTTGGAGTTCGGTTGGAGATGCCCTAAAACCTAAAAGAAAATGATAAAATGTCTATAACACTAAAGATCTACTTCAGAGATTCAATTGGAATACATCTATAAAAAAACAAATTACAGGGGAAATACATAGAAGGCCAAAGCCAATCCACATATTCATCTTTACAAGCAACTAAATTCAGTTATTAAGTGTGTTAAAAAAAAAATAATAATAAAGGCTGAAGAAAAAGAAAGGTGCAAGCGACTATAAGAAATGATGGATACAAATATTAGAATGAAACAATTGCCTGAACAGACATAAGAGTCTATTGACGCCGAATATTGGAGCCTCGAACTGTAACACCATGCAAAAATTTAGTGTATCCAAGAAAGCTCAGCTTACCATCTGAAGGTCTGATCCATTCTTGAACAATGGAGTAAGCAGTGGAAGCGAGGTTCATTTCCTGTATTAAATGACGGATCAAAATGAGTATTTTGATGGCTTAAAGTAGGAGAAATTATAGCTTAAAATCATACTTGTGCCAGCTCTTCAACTGTGATGTTCCTGTTGCCTTCCTTCTCAAAATATTCAAAAGCTTTCATTGCCATTTGTTCCCATCCTTCCAAGGCTTCCAGCTGATATGGACTGATGGCGGCGGCACAAAACTCTTCGAAGTCCATCCTTCGGCCGGAAAGAGGTTCCAACTGTCAAAAAACAGAAAAAGCAAGTTCAGGTGATAATATTGTAACATATGTTCTTAGTTAATATCCTATTTGTTTTACTAAAATTAAAAAAAAGAAGCATGATTGACAATTTTACATTGAAAATTTTGCTTTCTTTCTATGAGATTTCACGTTCACATCAGAAAATTTATTTAAGAATTTGGCATAGCAATAAGCAATATCAAGATGAATATAGTGACAAATATTCGACACATGTGAACTAAGTATAACTGAGATGAGCTGCATAACCAATTAGAAGTTAGAACCATCTCCACCGACTCTTAAGCTGATTATTACCTTCGCAAAAACATTAATAAATATATATATATATATATATATATATTTATTAATGTTTTTGCGAAGGTAATAATCAGCTTAAGAGTCGGTGGAGATGGTTCTAACTTCTAGCTTTAAGAAGCAGTAAGAAAGCCATCCCAAACGAGCCTTAATATGAAAATAGAGTATTCCTCTTCATGAAAAATTTACTGACTTAGGAAAAGAAAGGAAAAAAAAAGTCATGGCAAAAAATAAGAACTAATATAAGATAATAGTTAAAAAAACTAATGAGCATATGGCGCACCATGTTCAAAATATCAGGAACCTTGGACTCTTTCATTGATTCGGTAGCATTCCGTAGGAGTGCCTGCAAGTGCTTCTCATTAGTTTAATAAAAAATAATATATTCCTTCCAGATAATTTAGGCAATAAAGTAAGCACCAAAATTCACCTATTTACATGCAATATACATAAAATACACACAAAAACACCTAGAACGGCAAGCAAAACTGTCAACTGATCCACACACGTAGATGCATAAATGTGTCCATATGCAATACACAAAATACATATGTAGACCAAAGTTTGCAAGAATAAGCTAGCAAGAACATTCAAATTGTCATGGAAAAAACTAACCATTCTGAAATTATCCATGGAGATGCGCCCATCCTTACTCGGTTCTAGTAACCTGAATTGGGATTTGAGATATAAAAGTTCATCCTCCGTTAGAGCTTTAGAGAGTGACTGCCATTGAGAAAATCAATAAAATTATATTAATTTGAAAATCATTTCTAACATAAGTAATCAAGTATCATGAAAAACCTCGCCCAGTGGATAAAGATGCCAGATGATCCAAATAAATAATTAAGTTATTTTCTATATTACAAAAGATTAAAGGATTTGACAGTTTTGCAATAAATCTATCAGTCTATGTTGAGAAACACATTCAGATACAGCCTTACTAAACCGGCTTGCCAATTTGCAAATCTCCTTTTGTTATCTTTCTTAACAGTTCCATATCATCTTAAGACCCTTCAACAGCAAATTTATGGCATTATCAGTAATTTGGATTCATCCAGAATAACACTCTAAGTTGTTCCTTTCTCTCCCTCTCCTCTAGTATAAAGAACTCAAACCCGGTTCAAATCTAGCAGTGTTCGTCTCCTTATATCACTTTGACCGATAAAAGAAGTATTTAATGTTGCATACAGAAGTATGCACACAGCGAGACATTCAAATACTATAATTTAAACAAATCCGCATTCATATATCTAGAAATTAGGATTACATACTTAACATTTAGAGTACGTCTAGGTGCAATGTCATCTGATGAAGCACAAACACAGGAAATGCTCAATTGGGAAAAGCATCAAGATAATAAGAACTATTTATTTCCTCCTACCTTTCTTCCTCTGGCTTTCATAATTGAGCCCTAGTAAAATTTGACAAATATAAGACTCCTTAGGATATCCTATATGCTATAGTAATTATAGAGGATCGGCTCTTTGGGAGCTGTTCAGTGTTTTGATTGGAAAGAGATAGGGTTGGAATGATAATTTATCAGAAATTAGACTTTTTTTTTCTTTTTTTATTATAATTTTTCAGAAACTAGATGATATTATTATGAGTATGAATTTTAATTGCAATCAAACATCAGAAATACAAATATAAAAAAGTACAAATGTTAAGATCAAAATTGGCAATATATTTATGCTAACACCTCAAACAGTATTCTTTAAAAGAGAAAACAAACAATGTCGTAGTACCGAACTCAAATAGACCAAAATCCACAGATCAAAAGTAGTTAAGGAGTTGCATATATGATCAAACGAGCAATAAAAAGAAAATAACAATAACAATAATAATCATAAAAAAATAAAAAATGGTGTTACGTGAATATTTCATTAATAAAAATCGACAAGTTATTTCCCTTCGAACATTAGCAATTGTTAAAGTAGAAAATAAATTTTTTTACGATCCCCACCGCAAAAACCCTTTTATTCATGCAAACAAAATGAGCGATCCCCACAACTTCTTTATAAAAATAGTGGTTTGAGCGAAGAGAACTGCTCCACAGCCAAGCTAAGAACATTTTTCATGTATATGACATGAATATTAATTCAAATTCCTATGACCACGATTTATTTCTGGTGCACATTCGGGCCTAATTACTCATTTTCTAATAGGGCCTCATATGTGTAGTCCCCCAACTTTAAGCACCACTTATATCAGTCATATGGTGAATAAGTCAAACCATGGAAAACGTAGTATGAGCAAGAGGCAAATGCTTAAACAAAATTCAGAAACGCCAATTGCTTCTCACATAAACATACCTTTAGCGCAGCACGCTTGAGAGGCGTGGCACGAACATATGCTTTGACTAACTTAAATATAATAACATCAAGAGAGACTTGCCGGTTTCCATCTCGCAACCAAGGATGAGCTGCAATGCAAAATTTCTTGGTAGTTTTAGGCAATAAAATGTACCAACAAACTACAAATATAAAATGAAAATTAAAGTTGCATAATTTGATACCATACCGAACCTACTTGCTGAAAACTAGCACTGCCAATGTCAAGGCGAACAAATCAAAGAAGGTTGAAGCTAATGTAAGAGCGTTAGTCAATCTTAAAGCTCATGCCACCCAATTGTTGTGAGAAATAAGCAAATGCTAGCTAGAACAACATTCATAAATTATGTGTACCAACTTAACCCTACTTAGTGAAAAATGAACTTGAGTGAGGTGTCTCCCACAAGTGAAATGTCACAACTTCAATTGTGAGAAAACAAAAAAAGAGAGAAAAGGATTACTTAGATTAGATTTGCAATATGGAATTTGGAAACTTTGAATTGAAGAAAATAAGTAAACACAATAATTATAAGAAATAAGATTAGTTGATTAATGAGACTAATTCAAATAAGACTTATTTAGGCTTCATTTCTTTAGATGATGGAATAAGTTTGAACAAGATTTTGAAAGCTCAATATGTAAAGAAACAAATTTGAACGTTGATTAATGATGTGAAAAACTTGATGACCAGTAACTTGGAAAAAAATACAGATTAGTTGAAAATATAGAAAACTTACTCAAAGCCTGCGCAGCCGTCATTCTCTTCCTGTAGTCTTTATTTAGAAGTCTTTTGACGAAGTCCTTAGCTTCTACTGAAATAGTAGGCCAAGGTGAATCATCAAAATTAGGATCAGCTCGCAGAACTGATCGGAATATTCCAGATTCTGTGCGTGCCCAAAAAGGCCTGCTACCACATAGCAAGATATAAGTTATTACACCAATGCTCCATATATCTGCTTCAGTGTTGTAAGATCGATGCAAGACTTCAGGTGCAACATAGTAAGCACTCCCAACAATGTCATTTAATCTTTCATCTGCAATAGGTGCCAAAATGATGGTGACCTGTCAACCAACTTAAGCTAAAACTGATGGCAACATTCTATGAAAAAAAAAAAACAAGCAATCTAAGAAAACTCCATGAGCAAGAAATTTTTGCATGAAAATTTAAACGAACATTAAATACATACATGCATACGAGGGGACATTGTTATCAACCTCTACCTTTTGGCATTGCAGGATTAATGCTCCATTTCAATGCCCCTTGGGTAGGTGGAGGCCAACTGGCTCCAAACACTAAAAAAAAAACAGACAAAAATATTTGTTGCCCCATTAAGGAAGGCATAATAAAAATAGAGCTCAAGCTGCACCTAAAAAAATAACATAAAATACAAATTTTTTTTAGAACCCTTGCTCTTCCTCTCTTCACTCCCGCACACAACCCTCTCTTATGCTACCTCTCTACATCGCTCCCACTTCATTACAAACATCTCACAACACTCAGCAAGGTAAAAGAGGGTGCGGTGCTTCTGGGTTCCTTGTAAGTTCCCATATGTCTTTCTTGGCACGATACGACGGTTATTTTATTCTTATGTGCTATATTTTGTATTGGGAATTACTTAAGAAATATTCATACATGCTTTTCATGGTACAGTGAGTATAAAATATGCTCGGCTAGGTGTTTAAAAAACCACCAAAAGGTGGTTTTTTTTTATGCGGAGGAAACATTTTTGGCTATAATGTCCAGTGCATTGTCCAGAAATGTTTTTCTTGGAGGGTGGGAAAACCCAACACGCTTTCTAATACCCACTTGCAAAAAAAAAAAAAATCAAACAAAAATGTTATAAGGACGAAAATGCTATTAAATAAAAAATAATGTAATGAAAGTGAAAATGGCGCATTAAAAAGTGCAAAATAAGTCAAGTAATACCTGCAAAATGAGCAAAATAACAAACTTAAATAAATTTTTCTGCTTAACAACAAGCGCAAGCAAGAACACCTCCTTTCGTAATATGAAGTCAACTGGCTCCGAAAAATTCCCATTTTTATGATTGTGTGATCCCGACCTCTCTGCGTCATCGGTTTATTTTTCTGTTAAGTGTGACGATGACGGTAGATAGTTTTAACGAGATTAGGTTCCAGGGGAATTTTCAGAAGGCAGATTGGGTTTTAGATAAGACACTACCCAGAGATTTCGCCCTCATTTTGTGAGGACTTTTTGATCTAAGTTATGGTTTCCTATAGGCGCAAGCCCCTATAGTTAATTACCCCTCCTGATAACAAGAGAGAACTTTCGTTTAAGGCTAGTTGTTCAAACGTTCACATAGGTTATGAACATATCGTATAATAGCAATAATATAAGGTTTCAGTTTTGGATTTGAATTTTAAAGTTTGGAATTTAGAGTTTATCACCATAAACTTAAAACTGGTGGTGGGGGAAGTGAAGACGAGCCCGATCAAGATCCCATGGTTCCGTCGTCCCGGGCTGTCATGATCCCTGGTCTACTTAGTCAGAGGAGGTAGTCGACCCAACCTGACAGAAGGTACCTTGTCGGCAGCCATGGGTTGCTTCGTCCAAGAATACCTTGTAGACCTGGGTTGGTGTTTGTCTAAGGGGATATAT